ATTGTTGAGCACTGAAGAAAGTTACTGACGCACAGGAATCTGCCAACATGACATAGGAGACTGGTGATGTCATGATTTTAAGCGTCAACAGTCCAATTGAATCATGGATATTGGTTTCAGGAGCATCTTTCCACTCCACCCCATGCCAAGAAATCATGGAGAACTATGTCAGGGGTGATTTTGGGAAGGTTCATCTAGCTGATGATGAAACCTTGAAGATCGTCAGAAAATGAGATATCCGATTAAAGCTGTCAAACCAGACCAACTGGACGCTGAAAGGAGTGAGACATATTCCTGGCCTCAAAAGAAATCTGATTTCTGTTGGACAGCTTGATGGAGAAGGATATAGTACAACCTTTTCAGGTTGTGAATGGAAGATTACCAAAGGAGCACTCGTTATTGCTCGTGGTAAGAAGACTGATACTCTCTATGTAACCTCAAACTTAGAGAATATCATTGCTGCAGTAGATGCTGATGGAAGATCAAGCCTATGACACCAAAGGCTTGGCCATATGATGCAACCTTGAAGATCGTCAGAAAAGGAGACATCCGATTAAAGCTGCCAAATCGTACCAACTGGACGCTGAAAGGAGTGAGACATATTATTGACCTCAAAAGAAATCTTATTTCTGTTGGACAACTTGATGGAGAATGATATAGTACAACCTTTTCAGACTGTGAATAGAAGATTACCAAATGAGCACTCGTCATTGCTCGTGGTAAGAAGACTGGTACTCTCTATGTAACCTCAAACTTAGAGAATATCATTACTGCAGTAGATGCTGATGGAAGATCAAACCTATGGCACCAAAGGCTTGGCCATATGAGCGAGAAAGGGATGAAGACACTCTTGTCAAAAGGGAAGCTTCCAGATCTAAAGAATGTAGATGTCAGACTATGCGAGGATTGCATCTTTGGAAAACAAAAGAAAGTCAGTTTTGCAAAGATTGGAAAGACACCCAAGGCAAAAAAATTAGAGTTGGTTCATACTTATGTATGGGGACCATCTTCAGTTCCATCTCTTGTAGGCTCACTATATTATGTCACCTTCATCGGTGATTTTACAAGGAAGGCCATGGTGGAAAATGAAAATGGTTTGAAAGTCAAGTGGTTGAGGTCTGATAATGGAGGAGAGTACAGAAATAGAAGATTCAGAGATTTCTGCGCAAACAATGGGATCAAGATGGAGACAACAGTTCCCATGACATCGCGGCAGAATAGCATAGCAGAGCGCATGAACAGAACTCTGAATGAACGTACCAGAAGTATGAGGATACATCCTGGCTTGCCCAAAATGCTATAGGCTGAAGCTATCAACACTGCAGCTTACCTGATCAACCATGGGCCCTCAATTCCCTTGGATGGTGGAATACCAGAGGAATTTTGGAGCAAGGAAGAAATAAACCTTTCACACTTAAGAGTCTTTGGTTGTATTTCTTATGTACACATAAACTCTGCTGAAGGAAGTGAACTTGATGTCAAGTCCAACAAATGTGTATTTGTTGGTTATGGTGGTGATGAGTTCGGTTACCGGTTTTGGGACTACAAAAATCGGAAGATCACCAGAAGCAAAGATGTTATTTTCAATAAGAATGTGATGTACAAAGACATGTCAACCATATAATCAATTAGCTCCAATACCGAAGCTGAAACAAAGGAATTTGCTGAGTTTGAGGAGATTTCTAGAAATGATGTTCAGATCAGTCCTGAAGCATTTCAAAAAGAACCAGGCACACCAGAACTAAGACGTTCCTCTAGAATTCCTAAACCAACCCAGCTTTATTCGCCTTCTTTGCACTACTTGTTGCTGACTGATGAAGCAATGCAGGTGGAGGATTCAGTCAAGTGGGAGTCTTCCATGAAAAATGAGATGGACTCGCTTATGTCAAATCAGACATGAGAATTAGCTGAATTACCACAAGGCAAGAAAGCGCTCCACAACAAGTGGATTTACAGGATCAAAGAAGAGCACGATAGGAGCAAACGCTACAAAGCAAGATTAGTTGTCAAAGGTTTTCAGCATAAAGAATGTATTGACTACAATGAAATTTTCTCTCCAATCGTAAAACTGTCTACAATCAGACTGGTGTTGAAAATTGTACATGTAGAGAATTTACATCTTGAGCAGTTAGATGTAAAGACAGCTTTCATTTATGGTGATTTGGAGGAAGAAATCTATATGAGGCAGCCATAAGGCTTCATAGAGGCAGGAAACAAAAACCTGGTATGCAGGTTGAAGAAGAGCTTGTATGGTTTAAAACAAGCTCCTAGATAGTGGTACAAGAAGTTTGATAGCTTCATGAGTAGTAGTGGTTTTACTAGATGCCAAACAGATCATTGTTGCTACATCAAGAGGTTCGACAATAGCTTCATTATTTTATTTTTGTACGTTGATGACATACTCGTTGCAGGCTCAGACATGCAAGAGATTATAAACTTGAAGCAAAAATTGTCGAAACAATTTACTATGAAGGATCTGGACGCTGCAAAGAAGATTCTTGGGATGAGGATTAAGAGAGACACAAAGCCGGGAACTTTGATGTTATCACAGGCTGAGTACATCAACAAAGTACTCTCCAGGTTCAACATGCAAGATGCTAAACCAGTAAGTACACCTTTAGGTGTTCATTTTAGACTCTCCAAAGAACAGTCACCAAAGACGGAGGAAGAAAGTGCACACATAGTGAAGGTGTCGTATGCCTCAACAATTGGAAGTCTGATGTATGCCATGGTTTGTACCAGACCAGATATTGCTCATGCAGTGGGAGCTGTTAGCAGGTACATGAATAATCCGGGAAAGGTACACTGGGAAGCAGTCAAATGGATCCTCAGATATCTACGGGGTACTACAAACAAAGCACTTTGTTTCAAAGGTGGAGATACGATACTGACAGGTTATGTAGATGCTGACTTGGTCGGAAATGTTAACATCAGAATGAGCACTACAGGGTATGTCTATACTCTAGGAGGTACTGCAGTGAGTTGGTGACGCCAGACAGAATAGTGATTATCCTGCAAGCGCTCCAACAGATGATTCACAAGAGAAAATTCGCCCAAAAAAATCCAGAGAAAAAAAGTCTCTAGGGTTTAATAAAATATTATCAAATCAAACAATGCCAAAATCAGTCCACAAGCCGGACTGTTATAGCCAAAAATCGTCTTTATTCGAATTTTTCCAAAAATAGAAAAATCCCGAAAATCACTCTAAATTGAAATTCGAAATAAAATAAGCAATCTCCAAAAAATCCGGCCTAAATTGGATTTAAATTGACTTCCTAATTGACAATCGAAATATTACCATAAATAATAAAAAATATCTAATTCTAGTGATTCGGAGGGGAAAACGGCAGAATTTGAGGTTGAAAAAAGGCCACATGGAGCATAGCTCATGTGGAGAGCGTGCGCGTCGAAAAGAGCTTTCTGGATTGGGGTCTTATGTGCGATTCTGACACCTGTAGCCAAAGTTATGGCCAAAAGACTGAAACATACTCAAAACGACCCCAATGAGGAACATGTCACAATCAATTCCCGCCTTTGCGCTGATCTGCCAATTCATGGTATCTCAGCGCCATCAAGGTGCAATCTGACAGCTCAGCATCATCTGTCTCGGATCCCCCTGCATCAGTTGGGTTTCTCAACTATAGAAGATAGTTGCTCTCTCCACAACTGAAGCAGAATATGTCGTTGTTACGGAAGCCAACAAGGAGATGGTCTGGCTCCAAAGTTTCTTGGAAGAGTTAGGCAAAAAACAATTCGTCTATTCATTCTAGGACGAAGCACATACAATTGAGATATCATTTTTATTCAGTCTCTTCTGGAAGATGGGATTTTGAAACTTGAAAATATTAGTGGAACTCAAAATCCGACAAACATGTTGACAAAGACGGTGACCACTGACAAACTAAAGTTGTGTTCAGCTTCAGTTGACATGCTAGAATAACATGACCAGAAATACTACTGCATTGATCAAGGTGTGAAGAAAGATTAAAATCAGTCTTCAAGTGGGAGATTGTTGAAAGTAAGTCGAAAAAGGGGGAGAGTTTTTTCAACAAATTGGGCAGCAACATGAGCGGCTAGATTATATTGTTGAAAAAAAATATTAGGCACCGAATGATGCATCATTTGTTGAAAATGGTAATGGATAAATCATACATTTAGCCACTGTATTTTTAGGGTAATTACAAGATTAGTCCTTAAGCTTCAACTATAAATACCCTAGTCTATTTAGCTTCAAAATCATCCCAAATCATTTCTTTCTTCCAATACTAGAAAGCTTTCTTGTGAGTAGTGAGTGTTTTGTAAACACCTGTAAATTTTCTCTCTAGTAAAAGATCTGCAGCAGTCCGGAGACGTAGGCACAATTGGCTGAACTCCGTTATCAATTTTGGGTATTATTTTTCCGCTTTTATTTCGCATTCTCACTAATCTGGTTATAGGGAAATTACTCGTACTCGGTTTATTTCCCAACACGTCACACATGCCATATGTACTTGTCCAGTAACAATGGAACATAATTAAGAGGGAAATTCAATTTCACTAAGTTTCAGTAAACAATTCTTACAGTAAATCCCAATAAGAGGTCACCTAATTTTACATAGCATCATACTAAGCTATGCTTTAAACAATTGGTCCTGAACCCTAAAATGGAACGAAATTAAATTTTAATGATAATATGCATAAGGGCGAAGTTATACTCCGTCTTGGAGGTTATTACCCTTTTTTATTGTTAAAAAATATATAAATAAATATTTATTTAAATATTTTAATTTTACAATCTTATTTATTTTTTGTTGTTTACGCTTTTACCATGCTTTGTAAGCTACTAAATCGTACTATTTAATTAATATAACATTATAATTCCTTCTAGGGTTTGGGTGTTATATAACAGGGACAAAGGAAAAGACAGGAAGTGCCAACGTCAGAGGGTATAAATTATTGGAGTATAAGAATATTTAAACAAAAAATGAAAGCAAAATTCGCTGAATCAACTGGGGCTGAGCCGAGATATTTCCTAGCCAATGCTTCCTCTAAGAGCTGCCCCCTACTATCTTCCTTTTCTAGATTTCTTAACACTTTTTTTTATCTCACCTGAATTTTATTTGTAATGATCTACTATTATCTAAACCACCCTGCTACTGAAACTTTCCACTCTTATTCTTCCCCTCTCAAAATCTCTCTGTAAATCTTTATATCTGCAGAAAGGAAAAGGTTAGATTCTCAGTTCTTGAGGGTTTTTTTACCCTTATATATATCGGATTGTGTTGCAGAGTTTTTCTGACGAACAATCCATGGCTAGATGGTGGCTTGGAGAGAATAACCCATCATCATCTCTTCACGAGATTTTGTTTATAATTATACCCTTTCAACACAACAGCTAATACTGTGAAAAAAAAAGGGAGAAATCAAATTAATCTTTCTGGGTTTTTTTTCTTGTTCGTTCGTTCTTTCTTTCCCAGACATGTTTCCAACAGTTATGTCCAATTCCAGTTCTTGGTCGGAGGAAGTTAGTGTTTCTTCTATTACAAGGGTTCAAGACAACCTAGGCAGCTTAAATCCCATTGTTCCAACCAAAGTTAAGAAGAAAAGAAATTTCCCAGGGAACCCAGGTAAAACTTTGTTCGGTTCGAAAACATGTTTTTTGACAGTTAAAAAAAAGCACAATCTGTGTTTAACTGTTTGATGTTGTTGCTGCTGAGTAGACCCTGACGCTGAAGTGATTGCTTTGTCTCCCAAGTCTTTGCTGACGACCAACAGATTCGTGTGCGAGATCTGTAATAAAGGTTTCCAAAGAGATCAAAACCTTCAGCTCCATAGAAGGGGACATAACCTTCCATGGAAACTGAAGCAAAGGAGCAGAGAGATGAAGAAGAAAGCCTATGTTTGCCCCGAGCCTACGTGTGTGCATCACCATCCGTCGAGGGCTTTAGGCGATCTTACCGGCATCAAGAAACACTTTTGCCGGAAACATGGAGAGAAGAGATGGAAGTGTGAGAAATGCTCAAAGTTCTACGCTGTTCAATCTGATTGGAAAGCTCATTCTAAGACTTGTGGAACCAGAGAATATAGATGTGATTGTAGAACCCTTTTCTCAAGGTATGTATTTCATATTTCATAGATACGATTTATTGATCGATTAATTCGTGTTGTTTACGAAATTCAGGTTTTAAACTTTAGACTAAATCTCTTTGGTATTTCGTGGGGAAATCCATTTTTGTTTTGCTTTGTTGCTCCTGTTACACGATAATGGTAAGTCATGCAAGGGAATATATGTGGGAACTTAAATGCATGAAGTCACAGGTTTTTGTGTTGTCGAAGTTGGACACCATTAATACAAATCATCTGTATCTGTCTTTTGGAGACCTAATTCTAAAAGAAATACCTTTTAAATCTGAACCAGATGACAATCTTCATATTATCTGAAAAAAACATGTTTTTTTTCTCTGTTTTTTCTTTTCTTTTTTGTATCTTGTTATCGAGTGGACTGCGGTCTCAAAAACAATGATGATATCCAAAAGAAATGAAGCAGAAGAAATTACTATAATTATTGCTTTTTGGAGTTCACGGTACAATTGATCAGAAATCTTTTACAAAATTTTATTTCATTTTAGCTTGCCATCATTAACTCGCAGAGATCATCATAAGGTAGAGACTGAAGAAATCTGCAAAAATATCTGGGGGGATGATTTTGTTATTTTCCTTTTTTTTCACTATCCATCATGATCAATTAGATCATGTTTGATTGCATATCTTTTGTTACATGCATGAAGCTCTAGTTTAAATATTAATATATATATATAACACTATCCATCACTATTTTACCAAATTCATGAAAATTTAAGTCATTTGTTTGGATGCATTACGTACACATTGATTAACATTTGACCAACAAACATAAAGTTTATTACATTTATGATTTATTCAATGCGCATGCATGATCCTAGGGTTTTGAGTTTTCATGGGTGTTTTCTTCTTTGTGAAAATCTCTAGGAAGGACAGTTTCATAACGCACAGAACATTTTGTGATGCATTGGCTGAAGAAAGTGCAAGGTTTTCAGCTAATCACCCTGCCTCCTCCTCCGTATCTGGTGTCGCCTTCGCCGTGAATCCTCCGATTTTCCCTTTCCAAACTCATATCTCTTTCCAGCCATGGCTGGAACCTACTCAGACCTCTAACCCTAACCCTAATGATAATAATAATCCACTTCATGTCAAGCCTTGGCCTCATAACTTTGTTCCATTCTCCCAAGAACCGGCTCAGCCGCCGCCTCCGAAGCTCGGCATCGTATCATCCTTCCAGAACCTCCATGTCAGCAATAACATTTACTCCAATGTTGCCATGCCGGCCACCGCGCTCCTTCAAAAGGCCGCCACCGTTGGCGCAACTGCTACGCAGATAAACGACGACGAAGGAGGTGGCAACAACAACATGGCTAGCTATGTCTCATCGGATTTTTTCGGTTTCGGCGCCGGAAGCTTGGGCTCATGGCAGAAGAGCAGCGACCATTTCACGAGGGATTTTCTAGGTTTGACCGGAGACAATCACCATCATGCTGGTGCCAATGGGGAAGTTAACTTTAGCATGAACGTGAGAGAGGTTCTAACTTACGCCGGGGGACTGGAGTTGCAGCAGTTTGAGAGAAACCACTCCATGTTGAAACCCCAGGGTTTTGGATTCGCTGAGCCTGCCTCGGAAACATGGGGTGACTGCTAATGGTCAAAAAGGGTTAAATTATGGTTTGATCTCTCTACTATACTTGAATTTGGAATTTAGTCCTTGTATTTTAATTTGAAATAGTTTGCTATTTTTACTTTAATATTATCATTAATTATCTTTAAAAAATAGAATTATTCTGATTAAAATGTTGACATGAATTCTTTACTTACAAACACTCCATACAAATTACGTAGAATAAAAAAATAAAATGTAATGATTAAGTCTCTACTTTAAGCATAGTAGAGGGATCAAAACCAAATTTAGACCACAAAGTAAGTAGTAGATAATATGGCAATATTGTTCTTCTCTATGTTCAGCGAAAAAGAAAGGAGGCAAAGGGGGCATGATAAACTCCATGGAAATATTCAGTCCCTTTAAAAATTTTAAACTATCATATATTTTAAATTTTATTAATGTATTTTTTATTAAAATTTATTTTCGTCTATTAAAATTTTATAGGTATAAATTAACTCCCCTAAAATTTTATAAGTTTAAATTCACCCATACACAAAATCCTAATTCTATCTCTACACGTACTTGTATATAATTTTTCGTAGGAAGTTTAAATTTTAAAAGGTCATATTAGTAATTTAGTAGGTGTAAAATTAAAATTTATAAAAAAAATATGGAATTAAATTATAATAAAATATATAATATAAAAACTTAAAGTATATATAAGCAAAATTTAAAACACCGGTCAGTCTATTCTTAAATATTTTCAAAAGAAAAGAAAAATCAATTTAAGTTTGATTTCCCAAAAAAAAAAGCTAAGAACTTTTCTTCCATACATTTTGTTTAAATTAATTGTCTCCTTGGAGTGGTATTTTTTATTGGTAGCCAAGTTGTTCATCACGAGAAATTTCCTTTTGATTTTGCAGATTTTCTCAGGAAAGTATATTTACTAGCTAGGCTTAGGTGTGTTACTGGGGGACGGTGTTGGAGTTATCATATTTCTAGAAAGAAAGAAAAAGAAAATCCCATGCAAATCATACACGTTTGTACTTCCCAGATTCTCTTTTGATGTTCTTGTCCTTTCTTTTTCGTTACAGCTAACATATACCAGCAGGGTTATATTTTTAAAATGTTAAAAAGAGATTAAACAAATTATCAATTATAAATATAAAAAATATTTAAAATATATATTAATTTAAAGTTTTTAAGTGGGATAACTATTTTTGTCCACTGGATCCATCCGAGTGACAATTTCCCTTGCATATATTTATAATTTTTCTTTACCACTTCTGGCTTTCGTAATTGAGTTGCATGGTATTGAATGGCTATGAGAGGTCCTCTCCTTAGGAGAATATATATTATTTTACATTTTTATACAAATTTACGCATTATATTATTTGTATACATTTTTATCATTATATATTGACTATTTAATAAATAATATATTTTAACAATTTGTACCAAAGAGAGGGGAAGAAGAATTTGTGCTCCTAACAAGTATTGAACCTACCTTTAAGAGAGTGGAAATATCGAGTCAAATATTTTAACCACTTACTCTAAAGATGGTTAAATTTATTAAATAATTTCTTATAAATATGTTTTCAATATGAAATGTATTCTCTTATTTACATTGTATATGTAACATAATCTAATATATATATATGGACGAGTTTATATATTATAAATAGAGTTTATTATTTAACTTTCTTTAGAATTGCACGAATCAAATGATCTCAGTGATTAATAGATTATTATTATCTCTTGAGATCGTAGGTTTAATTGAAAGTCTTTGAATAAATACTATATTGTATTTCTCCTAAATTTATATTTAAAAAAAATTAAAATTCTGTTATTTTGCGTAGTAAAAAAATATTTGTTTGGTATCTTACCAATTAATGATTCAGTTTAAGATATTTTAACAAAATAACTTCACCCTACCCTAAATTATGATTTTTACCCCAACTCATCCAATATAAAATTCTTAACTTTGCCCTCGTAGCCTAAACGTTTTCTAAAAGGATTATTATAAAAATAAGTGTCAGATTACCTCGAAAAACGTTTTGCATATATAATTTTTCGTTTAAATTAAGTGTTTATCGTTTTTATTGGAGCACTTTTAGATGCATGAATCGTAATGATCATTAAATTTAATCTTTTAAGTGATATGTGTCAAGTCCTGATAATTTTAAGAATTTATTTTAAAAAATTTAAAAATAAAAATATTTTTATTAAAAAAAATCCCCGCATGGTCAACCCTCACCTTTTCTTTCCCCATTCTCCAGTTCTCTCTTCCCTCTTTTCTCTTTCCATGATCGTCGGTCGGCTATGGTCGCCACCTCCACCGTCGTTAGGATCGGCGCTGACTCTCGATCAAACCCCTGTTGACATTTCGTCGTAAGCTGTCACCATTTTCTATGGGGAAACGTTCGAAGGTTTCGTCGAATTTTAAGACACCATCGTTGTTTTTCGTCGATTCCAGTCGATCCCGACATTCATATGCCACGCCGTCACCACTATTCGAACCACCATCCAATTCCGTTCAAAACTCATCCTCGCCGACGCTCTATCGATGCTCCTCCGACGTTCAACCATGGTAATAGTTGAAATGAGATATTTTAGTTTTTTTGAGTTTTTTTTATAATTTCATTAAAAGTTTTTTTAAAAATAAATTAAGTTTTTTCAATTTTTTCATTTTTCATTAAAATCAATATTTTTATTATTAAAAAATAAAAAAAATATAACAGTAAACATCTAAAAATATAATAAAAAAATTTATGCATCAAATTTTAATGAAAATTTTTTTAAACATTAAATAATTTAGGTAAAATTTATATATTTATTTATATATTCAGCCTTTCTAAAAAGGTAGATAGGTAGGTACGGCTGCAAAAGAAATGTCAACGATTACAAAAAAAAATGTTGGATACATTCAACCTGCAAAGTTTGAATGATCAGTTCAGCCTCGTCTTTTCTTGTTATTATTTTTGGATTTAGTTTTAGTTAGTCATTTTTTGTGATCCTTCCTCGATTCATTTGTACGTCATCCCATTTTGATTAATTTGATTACTAATCGAATAGAATTAACTATAATCAAATTAATCAAACTTTTTTAACCATTAATTAAATCAAAATTTATTTAAAAATTATTAACCGAACTGATTTTTTTTTTGGTTAATTCAATCAATTTTTGAATTAACCGAATTTTTTAAAAAATTTCTAATTTATATAACAATTGAATATTTTTTAATTCAAAAAAACATGTTACAATTAATTTAAATAATATATAAATTTTTTAATTAATTAATATTGATTTAAGTTTAAAATTTATTAGATCTTAAATTATTAATTAGGTTTTTAATAGTTTAGGCCGAACCTATATGTTATACATAATATATTTAAAATTAAAATTTTATTTCAGTTAATTCCGTTAATTAACCGATTTCAAACTGAATTAACCGTTAACCAAATTCTAAAAAAATTATTAACCATTCTCCGACAGAACTAATTCGGTGGCCGACCAAATTAACTGACTAATTCGATACGGTCGGTTAATTCGGTTAAAACAAAAAAATAAACACCCCTAAACATGTCGTGTACACCCCAAATCCTAAATAAAATTTAAAAGATTTTTTTTTTGATAGCATGGGTTCAAACACTTTTGAAAAATACTTCTGAATTTTTTAAAAAAAATACTTTAATCAGGAGAAAAGGTAAAACTCTGGTGGATCCTGGTTCAATAAATATTATATGGCATATTTCATCAGGGAATCTCACTTTTCCCGCTTTCAGCCATGTCCTGGTTAGGGTCTTTTTCTATGCTTTTCTTTTCCTTTTACCTTGTGCAGCAATTCCCCTCTTTTCCCACCCACCCTCCTTTCAGTAACACTACAAATGAGCAACCTGAAATACACATATAAAGCATCTTTCTACCGTGTCGCTTAAGGCAATAACTGCAAAAGCCCATTCTCATTAATACTTGCTATTTTCACCCATAAATAAATTTTAGAATTTAGCAAAATATAGTCAAAAGAAAGGGATACACGACCATCATGGTATCTGCAATGATCACCACTCACAGTCTTTCCTAATAAACTCATAAAAAGTCCCCAGCATCAATGAATGTCCATTCTAAACAAATTAAATAATGCAGGTCAGGGGAAATCTAGTTGTATATGAGATTCTTAACCTAAAAATGTTGTTGCGCACAAACACACACACACACGTTCTTAAGGCACTTTTTGAGTTTTGTAATGATTTATATTCTACTAAGTTGTTGATGACTATCATGTAAAGGTACTGATTGTGATAGTTTCCGGAATGAAGATGCATCGATTTACTATCCCGGGATCATGGGAACAATTTAGAAGTCTCGTCCAGAACTCGGTTTTGGTACATCAAAGTTCCCTCCTACATATTTATCCAACACATTTTTGAATGCCTGCAATGTAAAATGTATTAAAGCTAAGAATGCAAATTTAGAATTTAGACTATATCGAAGTATGATGCATCATAATTCAGCAAAATTTCCTGTCTGATGTGTGTCTTGTGTGACCATAACCATTGTAAAACTAGAGCAATGAATAGGAAATTTGACCATAAAAATTTTTCTAACAGAAAATCTGCTAGCAGATGACATCTAAAATCTGTGCCATAAACTGATAATTGATAAATACTTCATTTGTTTTGAAGAAAAAAGTTCAAAATGGTCAAAGCATCACCTGACGTGCAAATGACTCTTTCCCGTTTAGAATAGCATCCATCGCTGCAAATTGGTTATCAAATACTCCATAGAAGACCTGGTAAAATTTGTTCCTGAAACCATGAATAAGTACAATAGTTACGCCAGAAACAGTTGCATAGACAAGACCAACATAAGAGATTAACTCTAAGAATAGTTAAAATGTACCGATCATCTTCAGTGTTGTGTTGGTCTATCTCGTCAAATTTCCGTGTAAGGACTTCTGCCCCCACTGGTGAAAGTAAGTGCAGTATTAGAGCTTCCAGAGTTCTGGGGAAATTGTGCTGGAAAGCAATAGAAACAAATGGATAACTA